GAATAAATAATACTTAGAGATATGTTAATACGGGGTGTTCCGCAAGGCATAACGGCCAGGGTAATTTTTTTTTCAGAAAATTCAAAAACACGTCAATTTTGTTTGTGAGGAGGACAACTTTTGCCCCAAAAATGATTGCAAAATCTTCAACCCTTTAAGCGGGGGTGCCATCCCCCAATTTTTTTCAAATGGGAAGGGAGGTCAAGTGGTACCGCAACGAAAAGGGCTGTCTTTTCTCTATACTTTCCCGCTTCGTTTTTGAAAATCGGTCGAATCATTGAGAAAATATGAAGGATTGAAATTTGAAAAGTTTATTTAAACATTTATCGGAGTAAATGATAAGGATAAATTCCTTCGACCAATTTGCTGTTTTTTCTTATTATTTCTAGATGTTTACGCATTTTTTCACTTGCCACAAGGTTGAACAATCAGGTTAGGTAGAGCGTACTTTCTTTTTGAACGGTGTAGTTAATCGGCACAACTGTCGGTACTGGGCTGAGGACAACCCCAGGGTTTTTCACGAGGTGCACACACAAAACCCTCAGAAATTGAAAGTGTGGGCTGGTATTTTTAGAAATTCCATTGTGAGTCTTTTTTTTCTTCCTGGAAATCTAACAGGTGATATGTACTTGGATTTACTGGAAAATACCATCGACCCAGCCCTAACTGACATCATAGAGAACAATCCTGGATACGTTGAAGCAGAACTAATATTTCAACAAGACGGTGCACCTCCACATTACTCTCAAAATGTGCGTAATTATTTAAACAATAACTTTCCCGTTCGGTGGATAAGACGAAGGGGTGCAATTGAGTGGCCTCCCCGGTCATCCGATTTGACTCCTTTAGACTTTTTTCTATGGGGACACATAAAAAGTAAAGTGTATAGGACCCCACCCGCCTCATTAGAAGACCTGCGAAGACGAATTATTGATGTTTGTCGCGAAGTGACCCCGCAAGTTCTTCAGAATGTTCTAGAATGGATTGAAAACAATTTGTTTTACTGTATGGAGGTTGACGGGCAACATTTTTAGCATTTGCTTCATTAATAAGATAAGTTTTTTTTAATTAATTCAATCTATGCGTTTTTTGCAAAAAGTACTTTTCAAATTTCAATCTTCCATTGAAATTTGAAAAGTTTATTTAAACATTTATCAGAGTAAATGATAAGGATAAATTCCTTCGACCAATTTGTTGTTTTTTCTTATTATTTCTAGATGTTTACGCATTTTTTCACTTGCCACAAGGTTGAACGATCAGGTTATGTAGAGCGTACCTTCTTTTTGAACGGTGTAGTTAATCGGCACAACTGTCGGTACTGGGCTGAGGACAACCCCAGGGTTTTTCACGAGGTGCACACACAAAACCCTCAGAAATTGAAAGTGTAGGCTGGTATTTTTAGAAATTCCATTTTGAGTCTTTTTTTTTCTTCCTGGAAATCTAACAGGTGATATGTACTTGGATTTACTGGAAAATACCATCGACCCAGCCCTAACTGACATCATAGAGAACAATCCTGGATACGTTGAAGCAGAACTAATATTTCAACAAGACGGTGCACCTCCACATTACTCTCAAAATGTGCGTAATTATTTAAACAATAACTTTCCCGTTCGGTGGATAAGACGAAGGGGTGCAATTGAGTAGCCTCCCCGGTAACCCGACTTGACTCCTTTAGACTTTTTTCTATGGGGACACATAAAAGATAAAGTGCATAGCACTCCACCCGCCACATTAGAAGACCTGCGAAGACGAATTATTGATGTTTGTCGCGAAGTGACCCCGCAAGTTCTTCAGAACGTTCTAGAACGGATTGAAAACAATTTGTTTTACTGTATGGAGGTTGACGGGCAACATTTTCAGCATTTGCTTAATTAATAAGATAAGTTTTTTTTAATTAATTCAATTTATGCGTTTTTTGCAAAAAGTACTTTTCAAGTTTCAATCTTTCATACTTTCAAAATGACTCGACCGATTTTTAATAACGAAGTGGGGAAATATAGAGAATAGAAAGCCCTTTTCGTTGAGACGCCAATTGGTCCCCCTTCCCATTTGAAAAAAAGTTGGGGGATGACACCCCCGCTTAGAAGATTGAAGATTTTGCAATCATTTTTGGGGCAAAAGTTTTCCCCTCACAAACAAAATTGACGTGTTTTTGGATTTTTCGAAAAAAAAAATACCCTGGCTGTTATGCCTTGCGGAACGTTTTCGATGGGCCACCCTGTATAAAGAGATCATGGAACAATTATGTTTACATAAGAAAATCGCTAAAATTAAAATGCAAATAATTATAATAAATGGGGAGTGTGTTTTCTAAGAGGGCTGGCTTTATATTTATAGAAACTATATATAAAAACAATTAATATAATATACTTACCCTTACATTTTAACTTTTATTATCACCGAAAAGTTTCTTCTATCCTTTTTTCTAGATAACATGCGTCTCGTATCATCATATATTGTGAAGATAATTATTGTATTATGTAATTTAAATAGATAAAGTAAACGCCACGAATGTTTGGGAGTGATTCATCGCTTGATGAAGTTAGAATCGACACGCGCGCTATCATTTTTACATTAAAAACGTAAATTTTTACAACAGACGTAGGTTTTTAAAGGCCCGGTCTAATCATCTGCCTGCGCTCCTCCTACTTATTCTAAAATGTTAGCGTGATTGACAAAGTCGATACTATATCGCGTTTCTTTGATTGATTCGTTTTTGTGCGTCAGTCCATTGGTGTGCTTGCAGTGCGACCACTGGGGCATTCCAGTTTATATTTATAACCAAATATATGTTTTGACAAGACTTTGACAGTTAAAACAACATATTATATATTGATTATTATAGGACTTGAAACACCACGGCACTGGAATTAAGTTTTATGTGACCTTGAACAGATTAGTTCACATGGTAGCGACCTTAGATTAACAATAAAAATAGATAGAGCAAGTCATTCATAAATTCACAAAATCGAGGTGCCTACATCGTTTTATCGGTTAGTGCCCCCACTACCCTAGTTTATGGACAGCGGGGTAAAGAGGAAAGTGGTAGGGGAATTCGAAGATTCGAAGCAGAAGAGCATCAAAACAGAATTTATCCTTGAGATTTCATTGATGAGTAAAAGCTGGTAAAAGCCAGAGATATAGAAGTAGGTGGTTAGAGGCATAGATAAAATATTTTTTTAATAATAAATTTTAAAAATGTGTTCATGCAATAAAACTAATAAATTATTATAAATACATAATATATGCTATAAAATATTTGACAAACACTATAAAAAAATGTGTTTATTAAATATTCAATAATTAAAAGTTAGATATAATCCTTGTCTATGATATAATTAAAAGATATTATAGGTACGTATTATCGTATAATATATATTGATTGATAAATTAAAATGTTAATGGATCTATTATATAAGATGTTTTGTTATTTAGATAATATTAATTACAAAAGAAAAGTAGATACATGTGAACAACTAATTTTTATATTGAATAACATTAGATATACATTAATAATATAATTAATATAATGTAAAATGAAAAAGCACAAAATTCATCTTTTCTGTTAGCATGGAGCTTTCAGACCAGTTATACCATAATAAACAACGATAGGTTTGGTTACGTATACCGTAAAATATATTCGGTAATTTTAATTGGAAATATAGCACAAAAACAAAAAAAACAATGTTTTGTAGTTTTAAAATTCATTTATTTTATATGATTCTGGGCTAAAAACTCATGACAAAATAAATTCTTGTTATGACTAATATTTTGACCAAACGAATTCTCAATGTAAGGATATTTACATACCATATAATTTTACATTAATTAGGTATTAATCATAACACGATATTAATAAAAAAAACAAGTGTTGTATTTTAAATATATATTTAGGGACTAAGTAAAAAATATATGTATAATATTCTTACTACATTTACAGGTTCATATTAAATAAAATATTGTAGCCTGAAAAAAAATATATATTTAGTTAAATGCTACTGTAAGGATCCAAGCAGAAACCAATTTCTCATTGGCTTTTTGTGTTAACATATTTGCATAACAAATAACATAGTTATAGCAAATAATCTAAAAAAAACGGCGTGAAAGACGGCTGGGAATGACGATTGATAATTTAGCGAGGTCAATCTTAAACTACACCATTTAAAAATCATTTTTATTTAATATAAAAATTAATTACATTACCTTAGAGCGCCTTTAAAAAATAGTTTGAGCCAAGAAAATGTCGTCTAGGGCTTGACCACGCTGAAATTATCATATTTTCATTCCCCAGTCGCCTTTGAGGCCGTTTTTTTTCGATCGTATGGTTTATTAACTTATTACTACTAATAACTACTAACTTATTACATAATTATTAAATATTACAAAATTAGTATGTATAATAATTAGTATATATCATAAATTTCTAGTTTTATAAAATATGATTAATAAGACATAAACACTGTATAATCAAAAAAAAAACGGCGTCCAGTTGGCTTGGAAATGATGATCGATGACATTCCCCATATAATTTTACATATAAAATAACAGCGATCTTCATTTTATAGCCATGGCTGACGCCGATTTTTTTTGATAATGTCGAATTATCGAAATATTTGTTGCAAAAAGTACAATATTATAATATTTTACAAAGTGTAGAGCTGAAGCATAATTATCTTAACCAAAATTTAATAATGAAAACATGAAATAGAAAGTGATTTTCTTTTTACATTCTCTGATATATTATTGTAGATATTTATATTAAGTGTCATTTCTTTGTTAGTATCTGATATTATATCTACCCGATATTAAATATGACTTGAGTCCTGTACTATGCCATGATTAAATATGCAAAACTCAAAAATATATCGATTTTTATACACAAACAAGTAAAAGTCTAGAATATGCGATTCTAATCACTATCATAACTTGTCTCTCAACAAAAGTATTTCTGTAGCTCTCCCTAGGGTTCACATCTCTCACTATTTTCATAGTAGCATTACGTCGATTTTAAATGTGATGTAAAGGACCAATTTCATATGCACTATGTAATTAAAGTAACAACTTCCACACCATGAATATCTTCACTTCCTAAAAGAAAATATAAACATGAAGTTGGGTGAATATAAATATATACATTGAGAATACATTGTGAGCAAAATAAAAATAAAATTGACAATCAATGACATTCACCATATAAATTTACATTTAATAAAATGACATAAATCTTGCTTTCAAAGCCAACGCTAACACTTTTTTTTTGGTGGTGAGATCTTATACAACTATTGTGTAATTTTAGTAAAGTAATATTAATATAATATATACAAATCTATATATAGGGTGGCGCCTCTCATAGGACGTGAAGGCTTCAAGGGAAATGAAAGTGAATTTGTATGACTGACAGGGTGGCTGCAACGACGTCCCGTAATCCTGCTGTTAAAACAAAACAATTGGTGTTTATATATAAAAACTAGCTGATATGTTTTAACCGCAGGATTATGGGACATCGTTGCAGCCACCCTTAACTTGATTGACTTCTGAACCCTCCATATGTTCTCAAAATTTCATTTCAATACAAACTTCCAACAAAAATCCTTGAAACCTTCGTATTGTATGAAAGGCACCACCATGTACACTTTGAATCTGTGTATACATATTAGTATATAGTAATATTTTATACTAAAAAAATAAACTGTAAATATATATGTACTTACATATTATGACGGAATAGGTATGCTAACAAGATCATACTTCTTATCTAGTTATCTGCAGGATCCTAATATCTTAATGCAGTCTTAATGTTAATTTCCTAGGTGATGTTAAAACAGTTGAAACACCATAAATCGCGACATAAATGGCTGTGAAAATTCATCAGTTTTTAAATATTTTCTTCAATTCCTTACAATCAGCTGTTTTTGAGCTCTCTTTTGCTCGACTTTTTAATATCATGCTATGAATAAATCTTAACAGGGAAAACCATTTAATTTTTCTCTCACTATCTTTTAGAAATCTGAAATAAAATATTTATCTTAGTAATACAAAACGTAAATAGGCATTATTTTTTATAAATGTAAACATACCAATTATAATTTATGTAACTTACCAATTATTTGTATTCATAATTAAATACAACTATACGATTTTGATTCGGACAATATTGTAACAAAAATATAAACATTACTTCTTATAATATACATAATATATTATATTATAAAACAAATATTAACAAATAGGTAAATAAAAGGAAATGCTGCATTACCACAGAACAGTACTTACTTTTGAAATGACACTTCACGATGTTTAAATTCTTTAATTCTTACATATTTCCCAGTGTAGACCCATTTTAAATGCTAATTTTAGTCCTTTATATAAAATGAAACAATTATACACTAATAGTTTATTAATAGTTAAGAAATATGGAAAAATAAAAGCTGATCTTGCCAATCAGCTGTTTATTAACACTGTTGACCACGTCCAATTGGTCCAATTCCCCTACTATAGAAAATACTATAACAACAGAGCGGCATTGCCAGATTAAAAATTAATCATAACGGTTGATGTAAAAATGACGAAATTTACAAATATTTCTTGTAATCTTTGACTTGAATCTTATTAAGTACTAAATAAAATTATAAATATCGAAATTTTCAAATGTAGTAAGCTAATTATATTATTATTTTCTTAAGATTTCCCCAAAGTATACGTATACAAAATTAAAAATAAACAAAGGCTTTGACAAATCTTCGGTAGACTTGGCAACATAACAAACAATAACAATAGGATGTTGGCATTCGCATAAAATGTAAACAGTTCCCCTGTGGTAGCGACCGATGAATCGCTCCCAAACATTCGTGGCGTTTACTATATATTACATATATCGATATTTTTTCTATGAAATGGACAGCTTATAAATTTTATTATGTCAAATTTTGTACTATCATAATTTTCGTAAACCTCAAAAGTATTGTTTTAGTTAATATTTGGTGGTTACTGTTAAGTTTTCATTGTAAGGGTATGTATCAAAAATAATTAATGTGTTTTTTTTCTAGAACTATTAGTAATGGGCACTGATAAAAGATTAAAATTAACGTTCCTAATTTTTCGTGTAGAAATTTAAAATTGCTGTGAATTTATAAATACAGAAATATGTAGAATGTGGATAATGTAGGAGGTGGCAACACTGCAAGGTTTAGATACACCGTAGGTGACGAAACAAGTTTTTTAAGATTTTCCGGAAAATGTAAAGAAAAGTTTAACATTTTCAACAATTATTTTTCGCAAAAAAACCTCATATGCGGATTTCTGGTGTCGAATCGAAATATACTACCTGTTAAAATATCTGCACCGATTTCTGATATTCTTGTTATAGGTAGGAATTAAAAAGTAGGAAAACTCATTTTAAACTCATTAAAAACATTGTTATGATGGCATAGCTTTATCCACGAAGTTTAGAAGATATAATGATAGAGCATATCTATGTTTACTTTTTTCTCTGAGGTATTAATCGTTTCGCAGACGGGTTATTTTTCACTGAGATAAACTATTTTTCGCGACGATTCAGATTAATACTTTTTCGAAATGCGTTTTTCCCGTTTGGATTTCGCTGTTTTTGATTTTCTACTATTAAGTTAAGTTTGATAAATGGATTGGAGTGTGTATGGGGATTGTAAGTCGTTAGTTTCAATAAAAGTTGAAACACATCACGCCATTTATTTAACCTGTTAGACTCGCGAATTAGTTGATCTTTGTTCTAAATCAAAAATATTAAGAGTTCATTAGTAGTTCATAGTCCGAAAAAGTAGCAAAATAAGCGTTCGGCATTTAACGTTTTATGTAAAACTGGCTAGGTATTTTTACACAAATGAAGAAGGAAATTAAAGATAACGGATTATACTATATCCGTATTGTAGCACATTTTTAGACAACTTATTTATTTTTAAGATTTTGATGGTCAAACATCAACAAAATATTCCTTGTGTTTGAACCAGTGATGGGCAAAACTGTTATTTTTAGATAACAGTTGAAACTGTTATAGTTATTTATAAAAAACAGCTTAAAATAACAGTTTAAAAATAACAGGTTTCTTTATTTTACTGCTAAATATCTGAAAGAGTATGAGGCGATCACCGCCAGGCGTATTAACGCAGTTGGAAGTTGCAACAATGACGTGCTCGGTGGTAGTATTTCCAGGGTGTCAAAACATTTCTAAATATCGATTATTATCTAAAATACCTCTCTAAAAACGGTGGTTGTTTACAAATAAGCGCTGTTTACAAATTGCGATATAAAAAAAGCCAAAATTCCGCCACTCGTCTAGACCTATACATACCGATCTACCTACGCCCTGCCCCTCGATCCGCGTAGATCCTGAATTGCGTAGCAGTGTACAGGGTGCATCTCACTCGACGGGCGAGAAGCTCTTAGTTGTGATTTTACCACTTGCGGTCAAAAAATAGCAATATAAGAAAATGTGTAGTATATTCTTCATAAGTAAACCATCTACACACTAGAGTTCGAATTAATTTTACACTTAAACTAGCGTGTACCCGCGACTTCGTTCACGTCGAATTAATAATTTCTAATGGTGATGATAAAGCAAAACAAGAATTTCCATTAACATACAAACAGGATAAAATTTTCTCACATTTGCCAAAAATAAGCTTTCTAACGTCGAGCAGTTTAAGCAGAATCGTGGTTAATCAATTACTCAACTTTTTCGAACACCCTGTATGATTTTTTTAAAAATTTCAAAATATGTAAAAAAACAAAATAAATTATGCGTGTCCAGGCGTTTTCCCGAAAGACTAACCGTTTTTTAAATAACAAATATTGTAATATTTGAGGGGCGTTTTCACCCTGTTGGAATTTGAGATTCGAGAAACCCCTCCTTATCGAACCTCAACCCCACAGTCAATCCGTTTACCAAAAATCAGCTTTAAACGTCAAGCAGTTTAAGCAGAATAGTGATTACTTAATGGTCATATTTTATGAAACACCCTATATATATTTTTAAAAAATCTTAAAATATGTAAAACAACATAATAAAATATACGTGTTTTTTTGTTAGTTTTTCCGAAAAAATAAAAAATATTTTAATATTTGAGAGTAGTTTCACGTCCTTAGAATTCGAGTTTCGAAAAATCCCTTCTTATCGAACCTCTACACACTAAAGTCAATCCGTTTTCCAAAAATCAGCTTTTTACGTCAACGGCTTTAAGCAGGATCGTGATTAATCAATGACCAGATTTTTCAAAACACCCTCTATACATTTTTAAAAAATCTTAAAATATTATTCTGAAAATTTTTCAGAATAAATAAATACCTTAATATTGAAACTTAATAAGTACTGAAACATACAGCGCCATAATATCTACACCTCCGCCCGTTATGCTCGTAACAGGTTGAAACAGAATCTATCTAAAACAACTGATGCCGTTATTCTCCAACCTGTTTCGGAACCTCCATCGACAATCGACCGATGCAGCAGCGTTCCTTTCCCACTCCGATTATCTCGACCACCGCCCTGTTATGCTCGTAACAGGTTGAAAAACAACGTATCTAAAATGACTGCTTCTCCAACCTGTTGTGAGCCTCCATCGAAAATCGACCGATGCAGCAGCGTTCCTTTCCAACTCCTGTTATCTCGAGCGCCAGGCGTTATGCCCGCAACTGTTTCTGTTTCAAAAAAACCTGCTTCTTTTATATCCTATTATTTTTAAGCTGTTGTAAACCCAATACGACCATCGACGGTATCGACCGAAGCAGCTACGTTCGCCGTAGCGCTTTCCTCACTCCGTTGTCCGTTGTCTCGCCGCCTGTATCGATGGTTGACGAAATAACACGTTTTCCATCCATACTAGTTGTTTTTTGGAATTGCTTCGAGCAGCATAGAATTTCGGCGGTGCAGAGCGCCGACTTCGTTTTTCGTTTCACGAGCGGCCGATCTCTAGGTGTCGTTATTTTATATCTGTTATTTTTTAGAAGTAGTAACGGTTGCGTTATGTTATTTATAAATAATTGTTATAAAATAACAGATAGTTAAATAACAACCCATCACTGGTTTGAACTAAATTTTCTCGAAAATAAAGACATAATTTAAAATTCCGTTACAGTACGGAAATAGATTGAAGTTTTGTGATTACAGTGATATATAATTTATATGGTTTTGTAAGAAATTGCTCGCTATAATATGGCAAATTCTGAAGCTCTGCAAACCTTAATCAAGCCTTAATCAAAGCACGTGTGTTTGGAATTTTGGGTGTGGCTTAACATGACAGGATCGGGCTAAGCCTTAAGGGCAGATATCTGAAATATAATATATATTTCCTTCGGCCACACACACGCTTTACCCGACCCCTGAAAGCGACCTGAACAGTACAGCGCAATAGACTCTCTTAAGTAGATACCATAATATGAATAAATCTGTAGCTAGTATAATTTTTTTCTTTGTCTTTGTCTGTTTTAAAATATAAAAACATTTAAGTTTCTGAATGACTATATTACGAAGACGACTATAACCAGAACCCCCAATGATTAAAACTACTCTTCTAATGTAAAATGTGTATGTTAAACTATACAGGGTGTCACAGAAATATGTATGTGCAAGTATTTTAACAGGTGGTAAAGTTTGACCCCAGAAACATGCCCATGAGGTTTTTTTGGGAAAAAAACTGTTGAAAACTATATTTTTTCTAACATTTTCCGGAAATTATTCATTTATATTTTTTTCCGGAATTTTATCTATACTTTTATATATGTTGATTCTAGGGTGTAGAGGTTTGATAAGAAGGGATTTTTCGAAATTCCAGTTCCAAGAGGGCGAAACCACCCCTCAAATATTACAATATGTTTTATTTAAAAAACGGTCAAGTTTCCGAAAAAAAAGTTTAAACACGTATATTTTATTTTGTATTTTTACATATTTTAAGATTTTTTAAAAATGTATACAGGGTGTTTCGAAAAATCTGGTCATTGATTAATCACGATCCTGCTTAAAGCGCTTGACGTAAAAAACTGATTTTTGGAAAACAGATTGACTTTAGGGTGTAGAGGTTCGATAAGAAGGGATTTTTTGAAACTCGAATTCTAAGGAGGTGAAACTATCCCTCAAATATTAAAATATTTTTTATTTAAAAACCGGTGAGTTTTTTGGAAAAACTCTTAAATACGTATATTTTATTTTGTTGTTTTACATATTTTAAGATTTTTTATGAATTTATACAGGGTGTTTCATAAAATATGAGTAATCACGATTCTGCTTAAACTGCTTGACGTTTAAAGCTGATTTTTGGCAAACGGATTGACTGTGGGGTGTAGAGGTTCGATAAGGAGGGGTTTTTTTACATATTTTGAAATTTTTAAAAAAATCATACAGGGTGTTCCAAAAAGTTGGGTAATTTCTTAACCATGATTTTGCTTAAACTGCTTGACGTAAAAAGCTTATTTTTGGCAAATGGATTTTTCAAAAGTCAAATTCCAACGAGATGAAATTACCCCTCAAATATTACCAAGTTATATAATAATATCGCCATATTGTTTTTTCTCATGCTGACGTAAATATGAGAACATTTTATCCAGTTTGTATGTTAATGGAAATTCTTGCTTTGCTTTATCATCACCATTACAAATGATTAATTCGACGCGAACGAAGTCGCTGGTACACGCTAGTTTTTAATAAAGTTTTGAATGCCACTTCTTGAGTTTTTGAAAATTTGTCTATAATGCTTCGAGAGAATCCAATGTTGCCACCTCCTGCGTTATCCTCATTCTATATGTTTATGAATTATAAGTTCACACCTTGTTTTTTTAATCATTGT